CATAGCTGTCTGCTTCGCCCTGTTGATCCCCTGAGACCCTGCCCCACCCAAGCTGTGGGCAGAGGCTTTTGCATATGAAAGGCCTAGCCCTTTGCAATCTGAAAATTACCTAACAAACTGCAGCTGGGTCAGAGAGACCCAGAACTTCCAAAAGAAGGCACAAGGCCCCACAGCAGCTTGCATTGCTTCACAGCTGGGCCTCATCTGGGCACCTCATCTTGGTTTCTTCTGAGTGCTAGATTTCTAAGCGTTCTCCTTTGGTGAGGGGGATAGCATTGTAGTATAGTTTGATATTCAGTATTGTGATCCCTCCAACTTTGTTCTTCTTCCCCAAGATTGCTGCAGCCATTCAGGGTGGAGGGACTAGCATTACCTTCAGAGGCTGTTCAGTTCAGGTTTTGGAGACTTAGAAGTTGGAGAGTGACAGTCTTCCTCCTAAGTGAGTGTTTCATTTTCCAGAGACTTTTCACTCTCTCTCCTTCCTGCATTTTTGCCAGATATGACTGAGGTCCAGTCTGTGGTGACTCACTTCCTGTTTTCTATCATCCAGTTGGTTCCTGAGTTCCTTCACTTTGCCAGCGTGGGTGTCTCTCTGAGGCTGATGTTCTAGTTTGACTCATCCAGCTCATACTGCACTGTCTCCTGTCCTTCCATAGCTGCTCCTCTGCTTCTTGTTCTCTAGCAGCTGTGTCAACAGGCTTTGTCCCTCCACAGAGAGAGGCTGACTGATGGATTGTGAGGTGCTAGCAGAAGAATCATCTTCCTTATGAATACTCTGAGGCCTTGGAGTCAGTTTGGGTCTTTGGGATGAACCTCTGTCACATCTATAATCATCTCTGTTTGTAATATCTCTGTTTGTCTTCATAGCGTGCCCCGCTCCTCTGTAGTCACCATCCCTATAGTGCCCCCTACCAAATGCTCCTCTACTACTGTCTGTCCTAGAATCATAGCCTCTGTCATAGTCTCTGCTGCCTCAGTTGTCATAGTGATCTCAGCCCCCATGTCAACCCACATCCTTGTGTGGGCTGTCATGATACTCATCTCAATACCCATCATGATGTGGGTCTGGATCATAATGATCTCAACACTTGTCTCCAAAGATATCAAACTTCTTCTGGGTGGATGGTCATAAAAGCTGTCTGGGGCAGCATGGGCCCTCCAATCACTATCTGTTTCATCAGAATCCTGATTTCTATCTCAACCAAAAGAACCATCATTCCTGTCTTTGACCAGCAATGTCCACTCAAAATTCTCCTGTTACCTGGAGAGATTACCTAGAGATGTTCCACATCATATGTTAAGAGGGAAATGCAAATTAAACCAACAATAAGATACCACTGCACCCCTATTAGAACAGCTAAAATCCAAAAACACTGACAACACCAAATGCTGACAAGGATGTGGAGCAACAGAAAACTCTCATTCGTTGCTGGTGGGAATGTGAAATGGTACAGCCACTTTAGAAGACAGTTTGCTGGTTTCTTACAAAACTCCAACATATGCTTACCAAAAGGCTCAGCAATTATGCTCCTTGATATTATCTAAAGCAGTTTTGAATGCATATGCAAAAATCTGTTTGTGGATGTTTACAATAGCTTTATTTCTAATTGTCAAAACTTGGAAGCAACCAAGATGTCCTGCAGTAGGTAAATAAATAGACTGTGGTCCATCCAGACAATGGACTATTTTTCAGTGCTAAAAGGACATGAACTAGGGAGAGAAAGCCGAGCATTGCTGTATGACGTCATTACCCAGCTCGCACAGCAACTGTTTCCAGACTGTGCTGGGCTGTGCTGTGGCCCCATATTACGCCATGGCAGCATTGGCTAAGATTTGGTGGGGTGTCACTCCGGGGTGGTGGCGGGGCTTGTGTCCCACTTGGGGGAAGCTGAGCGTTGTTTTGTTGGCGTCAGGTCTGCACTGCACTTTCTGTATAAATGACCAGTGTGTGTCTTGGCAGCTCCTGCATTGAGTATCTGCACCCTGGTGGTCAGTGCGCGTCATAGTGACAGGTCCATTGGGTGGAGGTACACTTAACATATTAGCCTCTTATATATATAAACTACAGGCCCTGTGCAGGGAATGCATGCATGGGAAGGGTCCCTAGGTCTGGCCAGCGATTAGGGCTGATCGGGGTCTTCTGGCTGTCGGCTGGGGCCTTCCTTCATTCTGTGCCACCCCCTGGCGGTCAGCACACACCATAGTGAGTGATTGAACTCCCAGTCTCCCAGTCAAACTCCCTAGAAACACTTTACATATTAGCCTCTTATATATATATACTAGAGACCTAGTGCACAAAAATTTGTGCACTCGGGGGGGAGGGGGTGTCCCTCAGCCTGGCCTGTGCCCTCTTGCAGTCTGGGGTCCCTCGGGAGATAACGACCTGCTGGCTTAGGCCTGCTCCCGGGTGGCAGAGGGCAGGCCCAATCCCTAGGCGCAGCCCCTGGTTGGGCTCAGAGCAGGGTTGATTGGGGAGTTGGGGCGCCACCCCCTGTCATGCACAGAGCAGGGCGTATCGGGAGGTTGTGATGCCACCCTCAGTCATGCTCAGGGTAGGGCCGATTGGGGGGTTGGGGCACCGCCCCCTGCCACACTCAAGGCAGGGTCGATGGGGAGGTTGCGGCGCCACCCCCTGTCACGCACAGAGCAGGGCCAATCGGGGTTGGAGCACTGCCCCCTGTCACTCACAGAGCAGGGCCCATCACGGGGGTTGGGGAGCTCCCCCCTGTCACGCAGAGAGCAGGGCCCATCAGGGGGTTGAGGAGCTCCCCCCTGTCACTCACAGAGTAGGGCCGATAGGGGAGTTGGGGCACCGCCCCCTGCCACACACAGAGCAGGGCGGATCATGGGGTTGGGGCGCCGCACCTTGTCACACTCAGGGCAGGGCCGATGGGGAGGTTATGGCTCTACCCCGTCACACACAGAGTAGGGCCCGTGGGGGGCGGTTGGGGCGCTGCCCTCTATTACCCACAGAGCAGGGCCAATTAGGGGGTTGGGGCGCTGCCACTGTCACACTCAGGGCAGGGCCGATGGGGAGGTTATGGCTCTACCCCATCACACACAGAGCAGGGCCCGTGGCAGGGGGGTGGGGGAGTTGGGGCGCAGCACCCTGTCACACACAGAGCCGCAGGGCAATCAGGGGGTTGGGGAGCTCCCCCCGATCAGGCACAGGGCAGGGCTGATCAGGGGGTTGAGGTGCCTTCCCCTGTCACGAACAGAGCAGGGCGGATAGGGAGGTTGTGGCCCCACACCCTGTCACACACAGAGCCGCAAGGCGATCAGGGGGTTTGGGTGCTGCCCCCTGTCATGCTCATCCCGGTGCCGGGAGGCATATTACCCTTTTACTATATAGGATAGAGGCCTGGTGCATGGGTGGGGCCCGACTGGTTTGCCCTGAAGGGTGTCCTAGATCAGGGTGGGGGTCCCCACTGGGGTGCCTGGCCAGCCTGGGTGAGGGGATGATGGCTGTTTGCAGCTGGTCACACACCCTTCAGGGTGGGGGTCCCCACTGGCGTGCCTGGCCAGTCTGGGTGAGGGGCTGAGGGCTGTTTTCAGACTGGCGGGTGACTGAAGCTCCCAACTGCTCCTTTTTTTCTTTTTTCTTTTTTTATTCTGGGCCAGCTTTAGCTTTGAGGCTTGGCTCCAGCTCTTAGGCCTCCGCTGCTGAAAGCAAGTATCTGGTTTGATTGGGTCCTATAATCGAAACACTGTTTCAACTCCAGCTCTGAGATCCCAGCTCACTGAAAGCAGGTTTCTGGAGTTTTGTTTAGCTTCTATATTTGTAACAATGTTTCAAACTGCAAACTCAGAGGCCAGCAGTGGCAGTGGGGAATGTTGGAGTCCTCCGTCACTGAAGCAAGCAAGCCTCATGTTCCCTTCAAGCTGCCTGGCTGCCGGCCACCATCTTGGCTGGCAGTTAATTTGCATATCGCCCTGATTAGCCAATGGGAAGGGTAGCGGAGGTACAGCTAATTACCATGTTTCTCTTTTATTAGATAGGATAGAATATATATATCTCTAGATATAGATATATAAATAGATAGATGAGATGAAGACTGAGAATTGTTGTTTGAATGAGAAATGGAGGCCTCAGCAAGAGCAATCTGGTGGATTCTGGGCATGAAAGCCTGACTCACGTGTTGAGAAAAAACTGAAGGCAAGTTGTTTAGAACAACTTGTAAGTTTTGCTGTACTTGTAGGAGCAAGAAAATGTGGTGGGAGATGGAGGGGGGAGTGGGCTCCTTTTGAATACACTGCTGACTAAACCACAACTCTCATCCTTTCACGCCTCTGCTCAAAAATCTTCAGGGTGTCCTTAACTGCTGCATGAGGTTCCAATTCCTTAGCTGAACAGTCAAATCTTCTCCAGTTTTGACTTTTGCAGTTTTCTCTCTTTCTTCTCCAAAGTCCAATGCCACAGCAGGGTCAGAAGGCTCAGGTTAAAGTCGCGATTCTGCTCCGTGAGGTTGGACCGGAGGGGAGGGGCGTGTGGAGTAGACAGGATCACCTGTTAGATCGCAGGCATCTCTAAGAAGCCTTACCTCTCAGCGCCCTAGGGACTGCACACAATATGGTGTTCTAAAACCGCTTCATCCCTTTCACTTCTAACCACACGAATTGTGCAGTCACTTATGTTTCCCGCCTCGCTTTTGCCTTTCCAAACACACCAGGCTTTAGAAGAGCCACTGTGGCAGCTCCTTTAAGGGCTTCCGCCTCGAAGCACCCGGCCCTCGCTTCCAACTCTTCCTGTCACTAGGGACTGACCTCTCCACAGTCAGAATTGGCCACGTATTAAGTGCCGCTTCCAGCCAATCAGGAAGAAGTTATCTCAGAGCTTTGAGGGGCATCCGCTTCCACCAATGAACTTCAAGTTTTCTCTGGCTAAGCGCTTCCGGAACAGGGCCGGGCCTCGGAGGGGACAGTACGATTTGATTGGCAGGCGTGATGTTGACAACCGGGGAAAGCCCACCTTCTGCAACAGGACCAGCTTGGATTCCCGGAGTGGCAGTGACCGCAGCCAATCGGAGAGTAGACGCGCGGAAAGTTTGCTCAATCGGTGATGTCCGAGGGAGACTGTCACTCAAGTAGCGGTGGCTGAGAGCGAGGTGAGACGTGGCGGGAGGACCGGGCTGGCTGTCAGGCCGTTGGGATCCGCAGCTCATCCCCGGCTGCTCGGTGGCTCAGGCCGGCAGGAAAGCGGGCGCCGGCGACTTCACCTCCATGCGCGCGCGCAGGGCCGGCCGCTGATGGAACGCGCTGCCCACTCGGGGCGGCTCGCGCGGGCGCCGCCGTCGCTGCTGCTGCTGCTGCTGGGGCTTGCGGCGCTGACGGAAGCTGCGGGGCGCGCCCGCGACCTACCCGCCCCGGCGGCGGAGGCGGCGTTCGGCCTGGGGGCCGCCGCGGCTCCTACCTGGGCCCTGCGGGTGCCGGCGGCTGGGGCCTTGACGGCGGCTGAGGTGACGGTGGAGGACGCCGAGGCGTTGCCGGCGGCCGCGGGCGAGCAGGAGCCGCGGGAGCCCGAGCCCGACCAAGAGCCAGAGCTGCGACCGCATGGCAGGTGAGGGGCGCCCACTCGGGGAAGCGGCTGGTTGGCGTGCGCGCGCCGCGAGGGTTCGGGGGCCGGGGTCCCCTCGGCTGCGGCCTCTCGCCGGCGGAGGACTGGCGGCGGCTGGGCGAGCGCGGGCCGCCTTCCCGTCGGTCCTGGCAGGTGTCTTAGGATGATCTCGGAAGAGCGCAGAGATGGGAAAGAAACGTTCCTTTCCCTCGATTGTTTTGGGCTTTTTTCTTACTCCAAGGAACTTTCAGCCCCCACCCCACCCCACCCTCTTTTCTTTCTTTCGTGAATCACCAGTTATCTGTGCTGGTGTGACAGCTGTTTTGGGAGAGGACTTTACGGAGAGATTTCTACATTCCTGTTTTTATTTTTTAAAAAATATATATTTTATTGATTTCAGAGAGGAAGGTAGTAGGAGAGAGAGATAGAAACATCAATGATGAGAGAGAATCACTGCTCGGCTGTCTCCTGTATGCCCACACTGGGGATGGAGCCCACCACCGCGCATATGCCCTTACTGGGGGTCGAACCGTGACCTCCTGGTTTATAGGGCCACGCTCACCACTGAGCTGTGCCAGCCGGGCTCTACATTCCCTTTTAGACAGAACCCTGTCGCGCCCCGGAGCAGGGGTAATGTCAGTGTTTCTCAGATTGAGATCTGGGGAAACCTGCATCAGAATGCCTGGGGATGCTAGTAAACTCCACCCCAGAGCCACGGAGTCAGTCTTTTTCTGGGTAAGAACCTCGAATCTGCAAATTGAACAAGCAAACCAGACAATTTTTGAACACACTAGACAAAGTTTAAGAGCTATGGGTAGATTCTTGAATTTTGGCAGTTTTGATATGTAGAGAATTTACCATATAAACATTTAATATAGGGCTGTCTTGGTTGAGTTGGTTAACCTCCTTAAAAATGATACTTAAAGACACATGTTTTAAAGCACTTTTCCAAGTCTGGACACAAATGTGAGGCACTTTAATGGTAAAGTATTTTGCAGACAGCTGTCTGAACACACCTGGAGAGAAAGTGATGTCCCATTTAGCAAATGGGATGATAAAAGCAGTGTTAGGTAAATTAAACCAGGGAGGGCTACAATTGTAGGTCACAAAGTATTGTAGGTTTATAACATACTGATTACTAGATCATAACAAATAGGTTTAATTTTCAGTTAATTATTGGAACCTTGATCTACGTACCTGCAAACTATAAATAGGATAATAAAAGTCTCACCACTTGAATGTTTATATGTAGATTTTTTTTTTTTTTAAATAGCAAATGTTTGACAATTTTCATAGGCTTTGCTAATTAATTAACTTTCCTGGAAGAGTTTTATCTTGAAACTTCTGAAGTGCCTGCTCAAAGTAAGTTCTATGAATTAATATGTTTCATTTTTCTTAGATTACAAATCCACTGCAGCAGGTACTTGTGGGTACTTACAAAGGCCCGCACAATGCTCTGGGGTTCCAGAGCATGGGCATATCCAGCCCTCCTGGAGGAGTGTAGAGTCTCGCCGCTAGGATTATGTGAGATGACCCATGACATAGAGCAGAAGCAGTGCAAATTAAGTGCCACCAGTGTCTGGAGGTTTTTGTGGTTTTCAGGAGGTTGGGTATAGGCGATGAGGTAGATGAGAAGATAAGCAAAAGCTGAGGCAGAATGAGGTGGTTCCTAAAAAGTGGTTAGAATTGTGATGGGCAGACATGGGATTTGAGGAAACAGCAAAGAGGCACGAAAGCTGGAAAATACATTTAGGGAAACTTTTTAAAAAAATATATTTTTTATTGATTTCAGAGAGGAATGGAAAGGGAGAGACAGAAACATCAGTGGATGAGAGAAAATCATCGATCTGCTGCCTCCCGCATGCCCCCCACTGGGGATCTAGCCTGAAACCTGGGCATGTGCCCCTGATCTGAAATCGAACTGTGACCTCCTGGTTCATAGGTCATTGCTCAGCTACTGAGCCACACCCCACATCGGCTGAAAGCAGGTATCTGGTTTGATTGGGTCCTATAATCGAAACACTGTTTCAACTCCAGCTCTGAGATCCCAGCTCACTGAAAGCAGGTTTCTGGAGTTTTGTTTAGCTTCTATATTTGTAACAATGTTTCAAACTGCAAGCTCAGAGGCCAGCAGTGGCAGGCGGGGAATGTTGGAGTCCTCCGTCACTGAAGCAAGCAAGCCTCATGTTCCCTTCAAGCTGCCTGGCTGCTGGCCGCCATCTTGGCTGGCGGTTAATTTGCATATTGCCCTGATTAGCCCATGGAAAGGGTAGCGGATGTATGGCTAATTACCATGTTTCTCTTTTATTAGATAGGATAGGATAGGATATTTCATGCCAGTCCCTTCTGGCCTACAAAATTTCTTTTGAGAAATCAGCTGACAGTCATATGGGAGCTCCCTTGTAGGTAACTAATTGCTTTTCTCTTGCTGCTTTAAAGATTCTCTCTTTGTCTTTAATCTTTGGCATTTTAATTAACAAGAGGTGTGGGCCTCTTTGGAATCACCTTGTTTGGGACTCTCTGTGCTTCCCGGACTTGTAAGTCTATTTCTTTCACCAGGTAGGGGAAGTTTTCTGTCTTTATTTCTTCAAATGTGTTTTCAATATCTCTCTCTCTTCTCTTTGTAGCACCCCCATAATGCAAATGTTGGCACACTTGAATTTTTCCCAGAGGCTCCTTGTACTGTCTTCATATTTTTGGGTTCTTTTTTCTTTTTGCTCCTCTGATTGGGTGTTTTTTGCTTTCTCATATTTCAGATTATTGATTTGATTCTCAAAATCCTCTACTGTTGAATTCCTGTGTATTATTCTTTATTTCAGTCAGTGTATGCTTAATTTCTGACTATCCATTTTATGTTTTCTAGTTTTATTTCTATATTTCCTATCTTTTTAAAAAATATTTTTATTGATTTTTACAGAGTGGGGGTTGAGGAGAGAGAAAGAGAGAGAAAAGTGGATATGAGTGCCTCCTGCATGCTCCTCACAGGATCGAGCCTACAACCTGCTCATGTGCCGCAACTAGGAATTGAACCAGCAACCTTTCAATGCATGGGACAGTGACCAACCAACTGAACCATAATGGCCAGGGCTGTTTCCTGTCTTTTTTGTTTATTTGTTTTGTTTTTGTTAATCCTCACTGGAGAATATTTTTTCCATTTGCTTTTCAGAGAGTGCAGGGGAGTGAGGGACAGGGAGAGAGAGAAATATCAATGTGAGAGAGCCACATTGATTGGTTGCCTCCCACAGTGGGAGCTGGGAGTGAACCCCCAACCCAGCTAAGTGCTTTTGACTGGGAATCAAAATCATGACCCTTGGGTGTGATGGACAAAGCTCTAACCATTGAGAAACACCAGCCAGGGCTGTTTCTTATCTCTTTATTGACATATTCACTGAGATCATTGAGGATCCTTGTAACCAGTGTTTTGAGCTTTGCATCTGGTCAATTGCTTGTCTCCATTTTGTGTAGTTCTTTTTCTGGAGTTCTGTTCTTTCATTAGGAACATGTTTCTTTGTTTTCTCATTTTGGCAGCCTCCTTACGTTGGTATTCACGTGTTAGGTGGAGCTTCCACATCTACCAGACTTGGTAGAGTGGCCTTATGTATTCGGTGTCTTGTAGGGCCCAGTGGCACAGCCTCTCCAGTCACCCAAACTGGGAGCTCCAGGTGCAACCCCCGCTTCTCCCACAACTGTGGGCTATGTATACCTTGTGGTGTAATTGAGCCTTGATTGTTGTTGGCACATCAGTGAGAAGGATTTACCAGCTACTTCTAGTGTCAGGCCTGGGACCACTAGCGAGAGGTATGGGGCAGGCTGGGGCTAGGTGCTGCTTGTTTGAGAGATTTTAGGAAAGTCTGAAACATAAGCCAAGCCAGGCCATTTATATGGAAACTAGTGGTCTGGTGCATGAAATTCATGCATGGGGGCGTGGGCGTTCCTCAGCCTGGCCTGCACCCTCTCTAATCTGGGACCCCTGGAAGGATGTCCTACTGCCAGTTTACAGGGATCAGGCCTAAACCGGCAGTCGGACATCCCTCTCGCAATCTGGGACTGCTGGCTCCTAAACGCTCGCCTGCCTGCCTGATTGCCCCTAACCACTCTGCCTGCTGGCCTGCTTGCCCCCAGATACCACCCCCACCAGCCTGATCACCCCCAACTCCCCCCCTGCCAGTATGCTCACCCCCAACTGTCCCCCACTGCCGGCTTGCTTACCCCCAAATGCCCCCCCGCTAGCCTGATCACCCCCAATTGCCCCCCATGCCAGTGTGCTCGCCCCCAACTACCCCCCTTGCTGGCCTGCTTGCCCCCAACTTCCCTGCCCCTGCTGGCCTGCTTTCCCCCACCTTCCCTCCCCACTGACCTGCTTGCCCCCAATGGCCCCCCTGCTGGTCTGCTCACTCCAAACTGCACCCTCTACAGTCCTGATCGCCCACAACTGACCCCCACTGATGGCCTGCTCACCCCCAACTGCTCCCCCGTTGGCCTTGTCACCCCCAACGGCCCTCCCACGAGCCTGATCACCCACAACTGCCATCCCATCATGGCCTGATCACCCACAACTGCCCTCCCCTCTTGACCTCTAACCGCCTGTACCTCAGCCCTGCCACCATGGCTTTGTCCAAAAGAATGTCTCCTGGAAGGTCTCCCAGTCTAGTTAGCATATTACCCTTTTATTAGTATAGAGGCCTGGTGCATGGGTGGGGACCGGCTGGTTTGCTCTGAAGGGTGTCCCAGATCAGGGTGGGGGTTCCCTTGGGGTGTGGGGTGGCCTGGGTGAGGGGCTGAGGGCTGTTTTCAAGCTGGCCACACCCCCTTCAGGGTGGGGGTTCCCGCTGGGGTGCCTGGCCAGCCTGGGTGAAGGGCTGATGGTTGTTTGCAGGCTGGCCATGTCCCCCAGTGAGGACTCTCACCCCATGGGGGCATGGCCAGCCTGGGTGAGAGGTTGAGGGCTGTTTTCAGGCTCGCCATACCCCCTTCAGTGTGGGGGTCCCCGCTGGGGTGCCTGG